ATACCAAGGGCTCAAACAAGAAAGTATATGTTTAGAAAATAATGATGGCAACATATGTATGTACAAATATTCTTGACACAATTGATGTATGGATTGTTCTAAGAGCTATAAGAGCCCCAATCAAATGATCTTTAAAATATCCTTCAGCTACCTAATTCGTGGGATGTCTGTTTCTTGTGGAAGTCCTGTATTCTAGGCTGCTACTTAAAAATGTATATGTCCATAAACTTGGTGGCTTAAAAACAAACTCACTGCCATTGAATCCACAGTAGAACTGCCCCTGTGAATTGCTGAGACTGTTTATGGAAGTAGAAAACCCTGGCATGTAACCACTATGTCACCAGTGATATTATTGCACATTTATGTGGCTTAGAGATCCAGGGCTGGTTTCTCTGAACTGAAAACAAGGTGTCCATAAAGCTGAGCTCCTTTTTGGAGGCTCTAAATCTTTTCCACCTTCTAGAGACCACGAGGATTTCCTGGCTCATGACCTCTTCCAACTGTAAAGCCAGCAGCAGTGGGTCAGATCCTTGTCACACTGTAATTCCTTTGGTTCCTTGCAGTTGAGAAAGTTTCTCCAGCTTTAGAGCTGCATGCGATTAGTGTGGACCCACCTGAATAGCCTCTTCAGCAAAAGTTCCTTGACCTTAATCACATATGCAGCCCCTTTGCCATATCAGATAACATATTCATAGACTGAGGGTTAGGACCTGGAATTCTTGGTTGGCCATTATTCAGTCTACCACAGATCCTAATTGATAAAGTACTTGTTTGCCAGCTTTAGAAATGTGACTGTATCTGCCATCTCTGAGCAAACTCTACTCTGGGGAAGTCAATTTACACAGGCACTCAGATGGTTGTTAGAAACTTTACTGAATGGTGCTGAGTCACGTGTGTACATACCTGCCTGACAACAGCGCTCTTTGGTAGGCATTAACTGATCTTTAAACAACAAAAGATGGCTCAATTGAACAATCCTGACCTTCTCCCAAGATCACCTGGTTCATAAGAGGTGTGCCAGGATTCCATAGCAAGACAGTCTGACTTCAAAGCATACCTTTGTCTCACAATCCTTAATGGTAATTTTTACTTGCTGATTTTAATAATTTGGGGAAGGAGAGATTTAGAATAGTACCTACAAATTAAAAAAAAAATGCAGAGACCTTTTCACAAGTAGTAGAATAGGGAAAAGCCTGTAAGAAGATAGGAAGAAATAAATGGTTGAAGCTGAAACGTGGTGCTCCATTCTTTGAATGGGTCCTTCTACCAAAGCTGTTACCACTCAGTGATCTGACCAGCATCAGAAAGTGGAACACAGGTCCCTTTTACAGACAAGGGAAATAAAGCTCATAGAAATAGACAGGGATATGTTAGATTTTGTTTTCAATTGTGGTGAGAATCTACATGACCAAATAATTACAAATTCAATTGCTTTTATATGTAGATATGTTAGGTTTTGGGTGTGTTTACCTTCATTTTAGGAAACTAACTGGGTCATGAGTTTAATATTCTTCTGTGAAATAGTTGGGTTTGGACAAAGTCATCTATCCTTCCCTGAAAGAGCTTAATGACTCTCATATTGTTCAGGGAAAATAATGACCGGAATCTCTTAGACAAGAGAACTGACTTACTATGAGTTCGATGGCACTAAACTCATAACCTTAACCTCATTTCACTAAGTTAAAGTGATTAATGGCTGCCAAATACCCATTGCCACCAAGTTGATGCTGCCCTACAGGACATAGTAGAACTTGCCCAAAGGATTGCCAAGAGCATGCATCTTTACAGAACCAAACTTCCATATAGCTCTAATGTACAAACTGCCAACATTTTAGTTAAAAGACCAACACTTAACTATTGCACCACCAGGGTCCTTAAGTGGATTGTTCTAAAACTGAACCCATTGCTATCAAGTACTCTGAACGTTCTTAATGAAATTCTATCCTATGTCTCTCCTTGAATTTTCATAAGCCAAGTCCACCTCTTATTGATGTTTTTAAAAGTAGGTTTATTGAGAGAAAATTTTGCCTTTTTGAAGTGTGTAATTAAGTGATTCGGGGTGTGTTTGTGGAGTTAAAATGATCACCACAATATAATTTGCACACATCTTCATCGCCCTAAATAGAAGCCCATTTTGATTCATTCCCCACCTCTACCTCAGCTCTAGGCAACCACAAATCTACTTCCTGTCTTTCTGTCTAGGAACCCTGGTGGTAGCTGGTTACAAATTGTATTGCTAACTGGTAGACCAGCAGTTCAAACCCACCAGGTGCTCCTTGGTACGAAGATGAGACTGTCTGTTCCTGTAAAGATTATTGTCGGAAACCTTATGGGACAGTTCTGTGTCCTACTGGATGGCTATGTGATGGAATTAACGACATAGCAGTGGGTTTTGTTTTTCTCTTTTCCCTTTATCTCTATGCTGGTCCTTTCTAGATATGTAACCTTATCTAGATGCCTTCTTATAAGACAGTTCTAGACAGACATTTCAAGTCGTTTAGCTACCCTCGATGATATTTGGCATACCGGGTCCAGATTTTTTCTCTGTCTGACAAGATGGATTTAGCAGCTCCAGAGTTTTTTTTGGTAAGCTCCCTTTTTGATGTCCAGGCAGAGTGAGTTGTATTAATTTATCCCAAATTGCCCATTTTGTTTTTTTAAAAAAACTTTAAAAAACTCTGAATTAGGCAAAGATTTACAGAGAAGATCATCAGCCCTACATTCAACAGTGCGTACACATTTTGCTTCTGCTCCTCCATTGCAGTCCCCTCAGGGTGCCATTGCTTCTCCCACCTCCCCTCTGTGCTTCCTGTTTCTGTTGCTACTGCTTGCCCAGCCTGCTGAGTTTTGTCCTGGGCACCCTTTTGATTGTACGTGGTTTTAACACAGGGTGAGCCCCAGTCCAGAAAGCTGTCTGGTTTGGGGAAGGGTTTCCTTTGTTAATGAGTCGATGAAGGAAAAAGGTAGAGTGACAGTGTGGGAGGGTGGAGAACTAGTGTCTGTCTTGTTTCCAAGGACCGCCCCAACTGTACTTTCGGCCGAGAAGCACATCATCGCCTAGAGTGTGCAGTTACTGCATGGATCAGCCTTTCCCAAAACACCATGAAAGTTATTTTTTTTTTGGTCTCACTGTTAGCTTTACTTTAAGGTCTACGCTGATTATTTACTGTTCTACCCATCTCAGTTTCTTTTGTGAGCTCTTACAAATTAATGCTTGTCATGTTCTTGTAACAAATTGGCGGCCGCTTTGGACCGGGCTCAGCTCTGATATTCTCTGTGAGACCAGGAACTTGCCTTAGTTAGCAACCCAGAAAGAGGAAATAGAACTGTTTCACTCAGGTCTTCTGTTGGCTTTTGAGTCAATTCCAAAGGTCAGTTTTTTTCTCCAGGCAATTTGTGCTGGGTGTGTCAAGGTTTAAATTTGGGGCGTTTAATATTGGTTTTGTTTATCTTCCCTTAAATAATCCCAATATGTACTCAGAAATAATTTATCAATAGGGAGGATTTACAGTAAAATGACTGTAAAAGTATTAGATTCAACAACAAACTCTATTCATGTCTGTGTTGTTTTTCTTTTAATTTAATTTTTTTTAATTTTAATAATTCATTTTATTGGGGGCCCTTACAGCTCTATTAACAACCCACACTGTCTCAGTTTTCTTACCCAGTTTGATCTCTGCTTTGCTACCTGTAAAAAGAAGGGGTTGAATTAAATTTCCCAAGGTGTTTTCTACCCTGAATACTCTATTATCTACTCAAGTGGGTATAATTGGTATAAAGTATTTACTAGAGTACTCATTCAACAGAGATTGAGCACCTGCTGGATATTGGGCTTCGACTGCTAGCACCATCTTCAGTTTAACGCCAATTCCTAACTGTTTTCCTCTGATACAGGGTTGGCCGACGGCCTGTGCTGCTCTTTTCCATCATCTTCATTCTGATCTTTGGATTGACTGTGGCACTGTCGGTGAATGTGACGATGTTCAGCACACTCAGGTTCTTTGAAGGATTCTGCCTGGCTGGAATAATCCTCACCTTGTACGCATTGCGTAAGTAGAAACTTTCTTATCCACAATTAGCAAAAGTATATTTTGCTTCCAAGAGTTTTGAAAAGGTGCTATGTGGTCTAGTTTTTGAAATGGCAGTCTTTTGGAAGAACAAACTTTAATGGCTTCAGCTGTGTGAAATATTTTCTCAAGTAATGTTGCTCAAGTTCACTCTATTCTGATCTCCAGTTGGGGCTTGGTTTGCAACAAAAAACATGGAAGACTGTGTAATTGTTTCATGAAGTGGGGATTGACTCGTAGTTGGTAGGGAGAGAACTTTTGCTTTTCTCCTGAATTTTCTGTATTGACCTCTGTGTACTTCCAAACCCAGTGCACAATTGGTCATCCCTGCCATTTCCTATTAAAGAGCAAACAAAGGATTTGTAATCATGGGGTCTGGACTTAATGTTTTGGTTAATTCTTTAAGATGTGATTTTTTTTTCTCTAAGGGTTTGCAGAGTATAAGTGTTTTACCTTCCCATGCCAAAATGCAGACTTAGGTGGTTAGGATTTGAAACCTAAGTGTTGACATTGGAAGACAAAATGAAAGATTTGTTAGTAGTTACTTTTTCTGGATAATAAAAATCCCCATGTGGTAGTTACGTAATCCATGTGGTAGTTACATAATCTGGTGT